AAAATTATTTGGAGTCTTCTACCTTTCTAATTGTATTTGAAATATTTTACTTCCGTTCTTTTTATGTGTACAGAAACGAGGTTTGTTTAACATTTCCAAACAACGGTATTAACTTGATCCCCTCACTTTACAATTTCTCATCAAGAGAAGTCAACGAAAATCATTTCCTTTCTCAAAAACAAAAATTTTTTTAAATAATGCAGAGTTAGGTAAGACTTGCAACACGGATCGAACTGACAAAGTCATCAGAAATGAATCGTTAATAAGAGCACTGAGATCTTTTATTGGTACAAAATTGAGCATTACACAACATCATCAACATATCTCACTTTTTTCAAAATATTTTAGTAATAGTTACAATATATATTTTTTCTGCAGAACGATTTCTTTGCGTTGCAAAGAATGCTAGCCTCATTTTGTTGGCTCTTTATAACAGCCAGATTCAAATGACGTCATAATTATTTGACTAAATAATAAAATATTTGCTTGAAAACTGATTTAAATCTTTAAAAAATTAGAAAGAAGTACATAGCTAACTATATATATAAAGTCGAATAAACAATAATTTAACAAGGCAATATTGTTGGAAAATTTTTACTTTATACATAAGAGTTTTTAGTCACAGGTATATTTTTTTTCTGTAGCAATTAAATTTTTTCATCACATGTAAATTTTTCGACGCTTGCTAAGCTAACATTTTTTGAGGCAGCGTAGACACCGTTTCTTCATCGACAAAAATGACTTTACGACTAGGAAACATTGTCAAATCGTCAAAACGCATGTCAATGTATGAAACTAATTTGCATTCATTATTTAAGTTTTTAAATAATTAATGCAAATTATTTAGCTTCCCCAATAATTAGTTTCCTGTAAAAATAACCAGGAATATGTTGCCTCCATATGGAATTCTTTCTTGGCTCAAATTTTTACCCAAGATGTTCGGAATTTTCTATACGTTAGCTGGAAAAGTCAATGTTATTGTTCGTGCTTTTGGAATCTTACACCTTATGCTTATATAATTACTTATCACTACATTCTCCTGTGCATGTAAAACTATACATTATTGTCTGAAGATATCTTGAATAAAAATAAAACGTCACATTAAATTAGACTCTTACAATTTTTCACTTTTTAATTTGTTTTGAGAGCTCTATGTAAAGTTTTTATCTCTTGTTAATACCATGAAGAAAGAGATTTTAATAAAACAGCAACTTACAATTTCAACTAAATATTTAAGCCCCAACAACGTGATCACAATCACAATCGATGTGAAGCAGCTACTCAAAGCAAATAAATATTTGGTAAGTCGCTTTAAGAATAATTCATTTACTGTAATATGGAATGTAAAATTTTTAATTATTTGCGAGCGACGAGTAAATAGTAGACTAAATTAGCTCGGTAATGTTAGGTAACTAAATTACCTTATGTCTTGCAATACACATCTCTTATAATACATAGAAACAGAAACTTTGATATAAAAAAGAGTCGAATAAGTGTCACAAAGGCGAAATTAATCTTGTGGAGGAGGAACCTCTTTAATAACAATACAAGAAACTGTATTCCACCCAGTTTGTGCATTTGCGTAACATAAAATTGGACAATTTCCAATCCAGAAACCAACTTGCACTTTTGCTTTATAGATTTTTTTACAATATCCTTCAATGCGATGATGTCGCAGGATACTTTCTAAGCTGGCAGATTCCATGAGAAATATCCCATCAATAGGAAGAGGATTTTTGCATTCTATTCCATTGAAAGTAAAATACCAACGTTTGCAACAACCTGTGCATCCAGAGATTTGCAAGATTCCTTTATAAAAAACTTGAAGAGATGTGTTGTCAATATTTTCGTAAATACACACTTCTATAGAAACCAAACTCTAGCGGAATTTTCAAGATATTGAAATTCATATGTTATGATCTGCAACATTTCTCCCAAAAGCCAGCACAATATTATTAAACCCGTTTTATAATAAAATGTATTGCTTTCTCGTTTTATTTGTTTTTTTATTTTCTCGTGTTTTTATTTCATAATGGCTGTACAGTGAACTAGTATTTTAATTAAATTTTTTCATTCAGGTCTATCGCTCATATAATTTAGTTCAGTTTTAGCAACTTTTCAAAAAGACTGAAATATCATATTATTAGCTAAGTTGAGGATGAAATGCTATATTTCTTCTCGTAAGGTATATAATTTGGCAGTTTATTTAAGAAATAAAAGATGTTTACTGTGTTTCACAGGTTTATGGAAACCGAGGAGACCTTTGGGAGAACTCGAGAGCAGATCAGTGCAACCTCGAGACCGAAGGTCGAGGACTGTACGTGCAAACATCTTTTATTTCTTTTAGAAAATAACAACAATGCAAAACAGGCAAATTTAAAGTAAACGCTTTAATTTTTCCTCTAAAATGTATTCATGATGGATTTGCAAATTCTCATTGACTGACTGATTGCTATGATTGATTTGATTGGTTGAACTCAGATGTGCTTTGTACAGGCTATTGCAAACACAGCTCTAGACCAATCAGCACACGCGTTTCATTGTGTTTACTTTATAAATGTACAAAGAGGTATGTTGTAAAATAAATGTTTCTCCGGATTTTAAGAAATAATTTTTATCGAGCTTTCGACTCGGTGCTTCGAGCCTTCTTCAGAATCAAAACTTTTATTTTACAACATTAATGCCTGGATTATTAACTTTCAATATTATAAATGTATGTGTACATGATTTGTAATGTATAATTCTGGTAATGTATATGACAAGCTTCTTAAATTTGATAACTGTTTGTTCCTGAACAAGATCAGAGACCACAATTCGTTGTCAAAAATTTTAGATGTGCTGTAATCATGCTGTTACACAACAGTCAAAATGGTTGGGTGTTTCATTGGTCTTTGTTTCAAATGGAATCGTTTAAAATAGAGTTGTTCTAAAATGTATTACTCCATGAAAATTTTCGAAGAAGCTTTCTAATTAAGTTTTGCTAAACTCTTCAAATCATTTAAGAACAATTCATTATTCAAATTTTATCCAAATCATAAAAGTAAAATACTTAAAGTTAAAGATTATCAGAAATAATTAAACCTTTCTAGCTCACCTGCATCAATTAATTATTCTTATTGTCGTATTCCTGCCAAGCACATTATTTCCATATAGATAAAAATAGTTCATTGTTAGCATGAGCGTCAGATTCTCCTTTTTCACCTTTCAACCCTTTTAACCCAGAACTTCCAGGTGATCCAGCATCTGTTTTTACCCCGTCTCTTCCTGGAGGACTAGGTACACCGGGGACACCTGGGATATCTGTTGCTCTACATAACGGAGAAACTTATATACGCTAATTTCAGTTAGCAAGGAAATTTTTTATTCATTGTATTTATAACATTTAAGTACATATAAATGAAATACTGATAAGAAGAAAAAATACACAAAAACTACAATTTCATCCCGAAAAGCCTGTTTCTTAACTTTTCATTCTTCGGGGGACAATAATAAATGAATACAAAAGCATGGGTTTAACTATATATACAAGAGGAAGTTAGGGTAAAAATTAAGGTAGAACTACATAATAAGCTAGATGTACGATTACAAATTGGATAAAAGTGTCTTGTGTCTATGGTGACAAAAGGAGACAAGTGCGTTACGTTTGTTGAGTGATGATAGTTGTGGTTGGTAGGTGATGAAGAATTTTTATTTCAGGCATAGGTTGCATCTTTTGTTGGCGCTGTTGTACGATTTGTTGTGAGTAATGATGTCCCATGAGATATCGTGAGCGATGTTGTTGTCTTTTAGCGTCCATATGTGTTACTGAGTTCGGTAGAGTTTCTTAGTTTTTTGTGGCGGAATGAGTCAGTGTGGTTCCTGTGTCAAGTCTTAAATTCATTTTCTATAAGTCCGATGTAGGTCTCAGTTGTCTTCGTGTCCAAACGTTTAACATTTGCTTGGTAGATGACAGATGATTGTAGGCAGTTGAACTGGCTTGTCGGGATGAAATTGTAGTTTTTGTGTATTTTCTTCTTATTATCAATATTTATGTTCTGCTCTAACGCATCGAGTACTGTAATTACGGAAAATCAAATAAACAAACTTCCTATAAATGAAATAAACATACATAAAGTACATAAATGTAAATAAATGAAAGTGGACGTAATCATTTGTGATGATTTATCATTGCTTGTTAATTTGTTGGTCTTTGAAATACCTTGTTTACTTAGGGTTATAGCATGCATGTATGAACATGACCCCAACCCCATTTATCAATCTTCCACAATCCCTATTCATGGAACAAACAAGGGAGATGAATGCATAATTTTTTAGAAGCAATTTGTTTTATTTATTGAACAGTTTAAGTCCTTGAGAGCATCTTTTGTCGTTGTGATTAAGGGACGGATCTAGAATTTTTTGGTTTTAAATCCAATGTAAGTGCATATAATTTAAAACAGGCTTACTTATTACTGACACCTTCTTTTCTAAATGCAGACTAAAGTGAAATTCACTAATCGTCGTGTAATCAGTGTTTTTCGAAATAGTCAGTACGATCTAATAATCATACATTACCCAGATGATATGTGTTCCTTGTTCTTTGTTGAAATGTTGATTCAGTGGCGGGTCCTAATTACGTCAAAATAAATTACTGCAGCACATTTTGGCGTATACGTGCATTTCTAATCAACTTAGAGGGTAATACATTGGTAAAATTATATTCTTTATAAATTAAAAACCAATAGTGCTATACTGAAAGCAATTTGAATTTAAAATTGAGAAGCTATAATTTTATTTTGACGTACACTGCAAAACAATAAGGCATAAGTAAAATTTAAAATGGTCCAAATGCTATGTGAAAAAACTTAGATCAAAATGTATGATCTTCATTTAGTTTGAGTTTACCAATGATCCCATTGACAACCTTCACAAAAGATTAATCAAGCAATTTTTTGAGTACGTCTGAAATTGCTTACTTTCTTGTAAACTGACAAATTCGCAATAGTCCACAATACGTTATGTAGTTATTACTAAAGTAATTTATTATCATTCTCGTCATATTTCTTCCAAGCATATAGTTTCCATTTTGTAAAAATGTTTATGTTTGCATCATATAATTATTCTTCCCTCCCTTAAAACCAGAACTTCCTGGTTTCGCGGCGTCTCTTATTTTGCTGATACTGCGTCTCTCTTTACTCCATGTACTAAAATGAAAAAGATTCTGAAATTGCAATAATTTTTATTTGGCCTAATTTTCACTCGCAGCAACGATCCGAGTGAAACAGTTCCTTAAAACAAAGATTTATTCATGTAGGTCATCGTAAGAATAATTCATCTTCTATATGATTGAATTTAAAATTTTAATCAACTTATTTTCGTTTTATGTGGCATTGATAGTATTATTCGTTGAGGAGTAAATAATAGACTTACTCAACTCCTTAAAATTACAAAACTGAATTATTGTCATAAAATACACATGAATTTTCAACTAAATGGAAGCTTTAACATAAAATAGAGTTAAATAGAAAAGTGAATAAAGGAATTATTCTTGTGGAGGAGGAACCTCTTTAATAACAATACGAGAAACTGATTTCCATCCACTGAATGCATCTGCGTTACCGAAACCTGCACAATTGCCGACCCAGAATCCAACTTGCACTTTTCCTTTATGGATTTTGTTACAATATCCTTCGATGTGACGATGTCGATGTATATTTTGTGACTTTCCATTGTCCATGTAAAGAACTCCATCAATAGGAAGAGGGTTTTTACATTCAACTCCATTGAAAGTAAAATACCAACGTTTGCAACAACTATTGCACCCTGAAATTCGCAAGTCTGAGCAGAAGTTTAAAAAATTCGCAAGGTTCCTCCATAAAACACTTGAAGGGAAATGTTGTCAAACTTTTTCGTGAATACACAGTTCTAAAATTAAATTCAGGAAGATAATTTCCCATTAAGTTACGCCAAACTTTCCGAATAAATTTAAGACTAAAATTTTAATTATTCAACTTTCATCCAAATAATAAAATAAACATTTCCCTTTGTTCTTTATATAAAAAAACAAATCAAGTATGATGAAACAATTTTTATTTTGTTTTGCTCATCATACCTGTATCAATCCATGATCTTTATTGTCGGCTCTCCGCCAAGCACATTGCTTCCATGTAGACAAAAATATTTCATCGTTTGCATGAGCGTTAGATTCTCCTTTTTCACCTTTCATACCTTGTAACCCGGAACTTCCAGGATCTCCCTTCTCACCTTTAGTAAATTTTAAATTACATTTTCCAGGATTTCCCTTTTCTCCTGGTGATCCAGCATCTCCTTTTACCCCGTCTCTTCCTGGAGCACCAGGTACACCGGGGACACCGGGGACACCTGGGATGCCTGTTGTTCCACAGCAGCTGGTTGAACAATTGTCCTTAATAACAGGAAATAAATTATTTAACTTCTTTGGTTTTACAATTAGTAGTACAACATGTAAGTTTACATATGGTTACTTGAACTATACACACTAAGTCATAAATCAATATGTGGAAATAGATAATACATTATAAGTTGTAGGCCTACTTCTTTTTTATACTTGTTTTTAGGTACTTTTGAATGAAGATTTTTTCCATAGAAATTTCTCACTTTTGTAATAATATTCTGTGATACCACTCACTTGTTTTTTACGCAGTTTTTACACTTCAGAATGGAAAAAATAGTTTGTATAATATTTAATGAAGATTTTTGCTCAGTAATTTGCATGTATTCTTATATTCTTTGTCATGTCATCTTGTTTTTACGTCTTTTAGAACACCATAGTTCATAACAAACTTGTCCTTAAAATTAAACCAAATATTCAACATGTTTGGACTTTCTCATTAATACTAATTTTACCATAACATAATAAACAGCAAGTGTATGAAGTTTTTAAAACTTGATTACGCTGCAAATTTCTGGTGTCGTGTCTACGTTCTTGGTTTGACTCCATTAATCATTGATCCGATAAAACATGACAAGTAAACCGCCAAAACATGTCGAGACATGTAAAAACATGTCTGAGCAGAAGTTTAAAAAAAGAGTTTTTACGTGGGAATTTCTCCTATGGACGTTTTGCTTTAGTAGAAATTAAACTTCTTTGAGCGAGTATTTGACAATTAAAAACATTTATTTATAAAAAAGTTTATTTATCTTTGTTACTTGAACATGATTACAAAGAAAAACAATTCCTACAAATACGACGCGGCTACTAAATCAAAAATGCTTCGTTTTCATTATAGTTTTTAAAGCAATACATTCAATATATCTTGCCTTGTTCACTTTAGACATATCAATACTTGAAATCTGCCATACCAATAATAACACAAAGAGATGAAAACAATCCATTGTCTAACTCTTTATATTTATTGTTTAGATTATCAAGTTCCTGTAACCATCACAAAGTAATGGTAAAATATGAGTACTAGCCTCCTATTTTTAGTTTATGTTCGTAATAAGACCCGTGCTTCAGTTTTATTCTGGATTCTTATTGGTTTGTCATTGATTATTAGACTGCTTAACAGAGCTACAGGAAGGTCACTTTTTCAACCCTGAGCTGAAACGAGTCTCGTTAAGTGAGTTGAAATTTCCTCCCAGTCTTTATACAATATATTTATTATATCAGACACACAATTGTATGGCAAATTTTCAACCTCATGCTGAGCTCAACTCCATGCAGTGCTGACATTTTAACCCTGTTTCAGCCAACCGGGTTGAAATTTAAGCCAAGTGTTGAACTCAGCACTTGGACGAAAATTACACCATGTAATCGTTTTTCATTCATTTTCCCAGATTTTGTTAACATTTCACATTGAAGTTTGTTTTACTTAAGTTGACATGGCATTTAGACATGAAAAAATCTTTACGATCTTCTTCCAAACAAAGATAATTGCTTTATACTACTTCATTTAATAACGAGCTAAAGCTGTGATTTTGTCAATTTTGAAAAAGGACAGGTCCAAAGAAATATAAGTTATGATTTATAGTATGATAAATTTATTGCATTTGCGTAATTTTATCTCAGAATCAAATTGATACATGATGATAAATTAATTATTAGAGCTACAAGGAAAATTATTATTTTTTAAAGCTCAGTAGCCCTTTTGTTTTTTGAACCATAATGTTAATTTCAAAGGTCTCCTCGTTTTTAATAAGCCTGTCCATGGCTCATACATATTAACAATTTTTTGTTTCTTTAATAATTTATATCAACAGATTCTATATACTGCGATCGTTTGCTCAAAAATAAGAATCATTTATACTAAAATGTAAAAAATCTGAACCATTTACATGTTTGTGTGGCCATTTTGCTCAGAGACTGTACTCGAATATCTAGAGAAAAGAAAAGTATTTTAAAAATTTGATACAGCCGTTCTCTGCGTTACTTTATTTATTTTGGTTTAAACAACCAGTTATTACCTATATTTCATTGCTTATAATAACAAAGAACGATACAAGAACACTGCTATATGGCTAAACGTAGCACTTTTTTGCAATTTATAAAAAATCTATAAAAATACAGTAGCTACGTCATGTTTGCTATGCTCATCTATTATATTTGATTGATTTCACTCCTGGCTGTTACCTATATTTAGTTTCATTTATATATATAACTATGATTTTTAAATAATTTCATCCATTAAGGCAAATGACATCTACAAAATAATAACGAATTTATAATTCGTAGAAGCACTATTGCTATATATTAAAACCGAATTTTATATTAGAATGAGACACAAAAAAGTTGGCAAAGCATGTGGTGTCAAAATCCATTTAACCTGTCCACAATTTTATGAAGTATAGAGAAACATACTCCGAAAAAGATCCATGATTAACTCAATAATGATAAATTACGTCGGTTTGACGAGACATTTGCAACGTTTACTGAGAGAATTATAGTATTTTTTGAGTCTTGTGAGCCTTTATGATAATTTTATCAATATTTTAGGTTGATTTTGGTCGGTGGTTGGAGTTTGTGAGAAATTGTTCATTACTTTCACAGTATTCATTATTTTTTCACTGACACTATTATAAAAATCATCATTATTTTTGATACTAAAAAGGTCGTTTATTCACTTCCATTTAAGACAAAATCTCCCCCTCTCTCGGTTCAATGTGTTTTAATGTTTCTTTTATCAAGTTATTTAGCCTGGCTTTAACAAATCCTACATTAGTAAAGCTGAGAGATGCCTTAAAATTCTACTTCCCGAACATGCCAATCGAAATTTCATAACACTTTTTACAATGCCAAAAAGTACGAGACATAACTTCTCAAAACAACAACAGAACCGTTCACAAAACATTTTTCGACAAATGTAATTTAAACATTACAAATCTTATATTTAACAACTACAAAATACTTTACTCAAACACGCACTTAATCAGAAACTGACTTTCACTAATAGAACCATTCTTTATTGTAAATCTTATACTAACCAGAACTTAATGATGGGCTTAAGACCAGCAAGGAACTGTCAATTTTTGATTTTAAAACCACACAATCAACTAATTTTTCCCATCAAATTCACATTTCCATACTCACACTTCCTTTGAAATGATGCAATCACGCACATATACATAAAGGCATAGTTAGCTTGTAAATAAATTTTGATGATGAATTTGCAATAAATTTGAAATATTAATGTGTCATAATATTCAATAAAATGTATTCCACCTGTGGCTGTCTCCACCTCTTCTTATCTTCAGTTGTAGGGTTAAATGAAGCCATGTGTGGTTGGGATCCATAACGATTAATAATTCCCAAACCATCAAAAATACCTGTAACTGATTCTGGAGTTTGAGCAAGTTGTGACGTTTGATGAGGATACATGTTAGTCATGTTAGTATCACCGTTGTGCTCTCTGATCTTTAACGTTTTTTGTCTACAAAAATTATTCGATCAAAAAGCTTCACTCACGAGTGTAAGAAAATTGCAAATTTTTTCTTCATTATATTTGTATTGTGAAAATGAAACTTAATCGAATTTCGTTTTTTCAGAAATATATTTTCTTTGTTATAATTATTCTTGTGAAAATTATATCTATAGTTTCTCATTAACACAACTTTCAATGCTACCTGTTATTCTTTCTGTGTTTTCTCTCTCTGTAGATCATCACGAAAAGTAGAAATATTATTAAAGAAGCCATGATACCTATTACTATAATCCATGGAAAATCATCTAGACAAATATTGAAAAACATTAGGCTACTTGAAAGAAAAAGCTATTGCTAGCACAAATTTAAGCAACAAGAAGGAGACTCACAATAACTTCAAAAAATTATTTTGTGATTATCCTATAATTTGGCTTGAAGTATCCTTTGTCAACATCATGAAAATTATCGGAAAATGACGTGTAATTTGCTTTTACATTCTAAACTCAATGAAAACTCAGCACTTATTTACATTGAAACCAAAAATCCCCCATTCGATGACAAGATTGAAGATATCATTTTGAATAATCTTATGCACTATCATAATAATGCTTTTCAAAAATTTGCTATTTAGTATAGCTCTCAATACCTTTATCTTTATCTCGTGATGAGTTAATGGCTATATAAGGCAAAAAAACGTCATACAGTTAATGCAGAACTGAACTGAATGAGGGAGAAAATGGCCAAGGATTCTTTGTGTTTGTGAAAAGAATGAGAAGAATCAGAGAAATTCCTTACTATCATTACCTTCACAAACAATCCCATTTCCATCTGTTGATTTACGACAGCTACAATTATAGGATCCTAATGTATTATGGCAATTTTCTGTTTCATGACATTTTAGTGGCAGCCCAGAAGAACATTCATCAAAATCTAAAAAATATTTCAACTTGAGTTTTACTTTTCAACACAGTCTACTTATCCACGTTAACAAACACAAGGTAATGAATAAATAATCTAAGCTAAAGGCAAAGATTATTTTATTAAAATAGTTTTGACTATTGATAATAAAATACCTCTTCACACAATGCACATTTCATTGAGAGGTATAAATTCAATCGAAAAAGCAAATGGTAATGCATTTGTAATTTTTACTGAAGATGGTAAGCCTAACCCTACATGTACGAAGTTTATTTACAAAAATAGAAGAGTGTTGTTTTCATGTAGCTAGGTAGTTATGCGTATGTTCTATAAACTAGCTGGATTATCAAAAATGGATCCCTTACAGTTAGATAAAATTTAGAATATTTATGTAAAATAGATCTTTCACAAATATTGCGTACAGAAAATATGCCATACAGTATTACCATTGATTATCGTGCTGTTTTTGTCAATTGTGAAGTTTCTATCTTCGGCGTTTTTCAATACTTCAGTGATATCATTTATAGTGCTATCGTTTATTTCTATTGTGTTTTCAAAAGAAAGTTTGAAATGAACGATGACACTCCCTTTCCTAGTTAAAAATAAAAATGAAACATTAAAAATACTGATTACTTCAACCATTTTGTGAGAAATTATTGACAAAAAATTTATATTTTAAATGAGCACTAATTTTATTTACTGAAATTTACTTCTTCTTATCTTACTTACTCAAAACGTAAAATGTTTACTCCAAGGTAAACTGTCGAATATAAAGACGTTTCATAAATGACATCAACCTATATAAAAATACATGTTGTGAAAAAATTGTCAAGAAAGTAGCCTGCATAAACTAAGCATATGAGTTGAAAACAGCCTTCAAGTTTACTTCACTGAAAGTCATTTATTTCAATGTTTACTAACTATAAAAAAAATAAATTTCTAAAGAAATGAATCATAATGATTCAAAAATTTTTGAAGAATAAGTATATTGTATACAATAAATATATTATTGCCAATAGTTTGTACCACTAGTTTTTCATGCCTCACATTGCTTTGTTCATTCTCAAACTCAGTGTGCTGGTCAAGGGAATTTTTGACGATATTTCTCATAATTGGGGGAACTAATTTTTTTCTCATACCACGCTTTCTATCTGGGCAGCCATGTTTCTAAAGACATCAGAATTCCGGTCTTCTAAATGTTTTGTGAAATTAACACCGTTTATGATTCTGAAGCTTCCTTCGAGGTTTTTTGTAGCTAAAGGAAATAAAAGTATTCAAAAGATATTTCTTACATCCGTAATAATAACATAGTGTCAAAAAAGCGTATTTGCAACATACAAGATAATTCACATGCAGCCATAAAAGACTCCTCAAATTTCAAGATTTTCTTAAAATCGGTTTAAAGAGACTAACATCAGACTAATTTAAGCGGTGCCTGTAAATTCTAATCTAAATCGAGTAGCTTTATGTAATGATGATTCAATCAAGTATTTACATTTTAAAAATTTCAATTAAAAATATTGTATAATAATTAAAAAGATTTAGGTCTGGATTAGCAATTTAGAAACTGAAGCAGCAATTGAGCTTCATCTAAAAATACATCGAGCACTATAACTGGGTGAACATTTAGAGAAAAACTAAATGTTATTGAACAGCAAACTGCACTTTGAAAGTTTTCCTTCATTAACAACCTGCTAATGTTGAATAAATGTCAATATACACAACGACCTTATGCAGATGATATAACAACAAATACAGTATTATTGATCACATTACCTTGGCAAATGGGAAATTTATCACTTCTGACAACGCAAAATTCTTCAGCCCTACATGACGGTTGACACTTTGCATCTAAAGTAGAAGGTGCAGCGTGAATCTTTTTCTGGTATAAACACATTTTGGAAGATGTTACCTCAGATTCATGTACAACATTTACAGGTAAAAGTCATATTCAGAACATATTAGTTTACCTGAATCGAGAATAGTTGACCTCACACTTGGACGAATTTGAGTTGGGACCAACTTTTCAATAGTTGTCGTAAATACTTCCATCGATCTTGAAGGTTTCATCGATTTCTTTAATGTTAAAGTAAACGTTTTTCTTAAGGAGATTATGGCTATAGATTCTTCACGAACAATTTTTAGTTTTGATATTTTAAGTTTTGCTGATGAAAAGTAGATGATTTAAAAAAATCGTGTCGATTATTTATAGTTAATAATGCTAATGGGATAATAGGATGTTGGTTTATCAATACATAAATAAACATATAAGAATAGTTCATAAAAATAATGGTATTTATACATTTAATTTGAGGGATTTAGCTGAAATAGCTTTCCAAGTGGTGTTAAAATAATAGTATTGAATATATAACTAAAGTTATTTAGGCCCAAAATAACTCTAGATTAAGTGAAAAAAACGAGGGTAAATATAGGAGTGGAGTTAAAAATGGAGTCTAATCAATTCGAACAAAAAGAATAGCACTGTGCTCAACTGCACTGTTAGTTAGATTTAATTTACTCAGTTTTTTACGGCATAGCAAGATGTATGAAAAATAATAAAACTAACCACTTTTTGATGAAATGATCCATTGTTACACAATTCAACCATGATGTCAATAATAGCTTGAAAAGACAATGATTTCAAGTGCGAACTCTGGTACATTGACGCTGCAATGATATCGTTTAAAGTGAAACTTGAAATAAGACTCTCGGCTTCCCCAGAGACATTAAAAACACGGTGGCTTATGTTTGATGGTACTCTAGTGAGCTGATTAATCAACTGAGAAACTGAAATATTCAATAACAGTTCTTTAGAAGAGTACTTGTTTTCCAAATAGCTAACTGAGTGCCCTTCTGATATTCTTCGTAAAATAGTAAATGAATTACATGAGTTGTTTGTTGAACCAACTGTAAAAGTAGCCAAAGTCAGAAGTTCTGTTTTCATGGAATCAACTTTGCAAACCATATTCACATCGTCAAGGGTAAATTTAGCAGAAAAAAGATAATCGCTAATCGACCAATTGTACAAAACAGTCAACTGATTTTCAGTAAAGTTGGTAAACCGATAGATAACCTCAAATACATCTTTTTCTCCGACATTAATTGAACCAAGCTGCTCAATAACTTTTTGTAATGGTAACGTCTCAAGGATTTTTTTGTCATTTGATAAAGGAATGATTGTTTTTTCCAGCAAATTGATCATTTCATTGACGCTGTAGTTTTGCACTACGGAATAAGACTTGTTGATAAGAGACGAAAGTGCGTCAACATCTATAGACATTTTTTCCGCTGCATTGTGAAATGATTCATTAACAATGATGCTAATAAATGGATGCCATCTATCAGGGCATGAGAGTAGCATCTGTTGAGAAAAATTGTGGTTTCTTGCTGCAACTTCATTCTCAGTGACGAAAAGTTTCTGAAGAACACTTTTAGTGAAAAGCTTGAGTATATTGTTTAATGTCATGGATTTCACACGAGAAATGTTAGTTTTGGTGACTTTTGTAAACTCTGCTTCAGATAATTCAAATGTTTTGTAAAGTTGATTTAACACAATTTCCTTGTAATTTGGGAGTTTTTCAAGCAACATTGTTGTGTTGTATAAGTAAGTGTCAGTTTCATTCAATGTGAATTCTTCCATTTTAGTCACACTAGTATTTATCATTTCAGCTAAGTGGCATTTGGTTAACTGCAAAGTGTTTGTTCTATGTTCGAGAACATTTTGAACAATGATCCCAACAACGTATGTCCACTCTTTTTCATCAACGGCATAATAATCTGATAAATCATAGTTTAGTTTGCGCAATATTTCACTTGTGTTAAATTTGTATTTTTTCTCCAAAACTTTCATAGCATACTTCTGGATATCACAAATCGTTGTATTACTATCGATTGACGTCAAACTCCCACCAGATGCAGCCAAAATACTTTGCTCATCAACGGAGTACGACCATTTACTCATTTTCGTATATTTGAGATTGCTCAGTTTCATTGTTTTAGAAACATAAGCTGATACAACTGTAAAAAAAACTACATTTATTTTTTTTTGTATTGTATCTTTAACTGGTTCTCCAGAAGATCTAGAAGCGTCCAAAGGTGTCACTTTAGAGAAAAATGTTTTGTCTTTTTCGTAAAAAGTATTTATTTGTTCATCTTTTAATCTTTCTCGGTGTTGAACAAGGGGGTTGATCGTAACAGGAATAAGATAACTTGGAGATGTAGTTGCTACCAGACATATTAGCCATTGCAACATTACCCAGGTATTGACGATGAATCTCTTTTGGTTAAACTTGATCATTATTTTCGTTCACATCTAAATCTGTGGTAAAAACTGATTTAAACTACAATTTTTAAGATATTATTGATAAACAATCTTCAAAGTAATATAGACCCATAAAAATTATATTATACTTAACAGTAGTTAGGTTAATACAGCAGCATTCTCATTTGAGTAAAGATACCTAATTATGTTAATGCAAAATTCTATTTCTGTTCATTATTATTACACATAAAATATATTTCTTTTGTGGAGATGCTCACATACCGTAGCGTAGCCAAGCAACATGTTTTGGTCCTGCTATCATCACTTAAGATATGTAATATTTTAAATTGATTAAAGTCAGAAATAATTACATAGCAAGCAATCATACATGCAAAACTAAATTAGCATGCTGGTTATGGCACTGCTCGCTTATGTATGGTTATTTGATACAATATTTCATTTGTTTCTATTTGAAAAGTTGCCAATTAAAATGTAGCGAATCTAACTTCGAATTTACATTCCATTGTGGTTGTGCTGATATCGTATTGAGATTGGTGATCCTGTGACTGCAAGATGCAGCTGCAAAAGCATTGAAAAGCAAAAAAATAATCGAAGTACCTGTAAGGAAGCAATGTCAAAAAGACTTATTTGTCTTTTCATGTCTGGCCGCTTCATTTTAAGCATTCCTAGGTATTCTTAAATAAGCTTTGTTATCTGGAAAGCAGCCAATATTATATTTTTGCAATGAAACGTCATTATTATTGTTTAATTACGCTAAAATATACTATATAAAAGTAAAAAAATGCTTTTGGATTTTTGGAATTTATTGTTAAACGTGATATAATTATATTGTGCTCAACACATTACCATGGAAACACAAACATACAAGCTAAAATTCATATTACTCAAACGATTAAAAATGTTTCGTAAAAATTGCGCGATTAGTAAATAATATTTGTAAGTATTCTTTAAATTATCAATATCCCTTTTGTTTTTAAGCTCTATAGTTTTGTTAAATATTCATTCACGTCTGCTTTGTGACATTTGAGTGAATGAAATTTATAATATTAAATTGAAATAACTTATTCTTTAACGTTTCCTTCGTACACAATGCCTCTAAATGACATGCATATCGTTGCAGGATTCTCATTTTATTAGCTAAATGAATCTCACTTATTTTTTCAAGAAATGCGCAGTCTTTTAATTCAAAAATCTACTTCTAAATGCATTTAATTTATCATACCACTACCCACCCCTCGTTGTATTAAATATTTCACAACCCAAATAACGTAGCATTTCAAAAGATTCCTGAAGTGTTCGTTTCTTCCCGAATATCTCGCATAAGTTTCAGAAAAAGTTCTTTTTGTACGGTGTTAAGATTATTTGAACAAAGATATCATTATTTTAATACTCTATCTACTGCAGACTAAATTTTATTTAGCTGGTAGCTACCAAATAATGACATTTGACATTGCAAATGTTTGTAAAAAATGAAATTGGACAGTGTATAATCATGCACGTAGCTATAAAATGAATGTGATTTCTACATATCAAACAAAAAGAACTCATTTAATGAATCTCGTTTTATATTCACACAAATTGCGTATATTTTTATGTATTTTACGGTTATCTTACCAAAAATTCTTCCAATTGGTGTAGGAACCATTTAGTAGCGTATCGTACATCCTTAGATTCATCGAAAGTTTCGACTATATTCATATAAGAATTATTTTATTGTTTTACGCAGAAAATAACAGTTACGGTTCTCGGTGTGTCATTGTTACTCATTTGCATTCGATACAGGTGTTTATTTCTAGTTTGAACCACCTGCTCGATTTTGCACAGCTGACATAATCTTGTTTCGAATGAGATTCTTTTAAAATAAAAAAATATTTCAACGTTACATTTAGCAAAAAGTGCATTAAGTATATGCAGCTAACCAAGCACACAATTTATCCTCAAGATGTAGATAGCTACGAATCAAACATAAGTTTTTTTTACTTTTTAGCTAAAGTATGTTTGGCCTTAGTCAAATAACGTCGCGTGCAACGGTGCAAACCATGTTGTATTAGAACTATATTTTTGTTGATGTTTTACCTGTTTTTACTATGTCATTATATCTGACATTTTTATGTTGTGTACACAACATGCACAATATTACACGTATTGTTCAATAAGCTTTATTGTTGAATAATTTTACACGCAGCATTATATATATTTGACATCAACTTTTTAATGGTAGTGGTAAATACGTCCATCATTCTTGAAGGTTTCATCATTTTCTGTAATGCACTTACTTTACTTAAATCTAAAGAAGTTGACGTCACACTTGGACGAATTGAATTCGACATCGACTTTTTAATGGTAGTGGTAAATATTTTTATCGATCTTGAAGGTTTCATCGATTTTTGTGATACAATTGCTTTATTTAAATTTAGAGCAGTTGACGTCACACTTGGACGAATTGAAATCGACATCGACTTTTCAAAGGTAGTGGTATGAAATTCCATCAATCTTGAAGGTTTCATAGATCTCTTTGGTACACTTACTTTTCTTAAATTTAAAACAGTTGACGTCACACTTGGACGAACTGAATTCGACATCGACTTTTTAATAGTGGTGAAAAATACGTCGATCAATCTTGAAGGTTTAATCGATTTCTGTGATACACTTACTTCACTTAAATTTAGAGCAGTTGACGTCACACTTGGACGAATTAAATTCGACGTCGACTTTTCAATGGTTGTGGTAAATAAGTCCATAAATCTTGAAGGTTTAATTGATTTCTGTGATATACTTACTTTACGTAAAGTCATAGCAGTTGACGTCACACTTGGAGGAACTGAATTCGACATCGACATTTCAATGGTGGTGGTAAATACGTCCATCAATCTTGAAGGTTTCATCGATTTCTGTGATATACTTACTTTACTTAAAGTTAGAGCAGTTGACGTCACACTTGGACGAATTAAATTCGACATAGACTTTTCATTGGTTGTCGTAAATAAGTCCATCAGTCTTGAAGGTTTCATCGATTTCTGTGATACACTTACTTTACTTAAAGTTAGAGCAGTTGACGTCACACATGGAGGAACTGAATTCGACATCGACATTTCAATGGTTGTGGTAAATACGTCCATCAATCTTAAAGGTTTAATCGATTTCTGTGATACACTTACTTTACTTAAATTTATAGCAGTTGACGTCACACTTGGACGAATTAAATTCGACATCGACTTTTCAATAGTGATGTTAAATACGTCCATCAATCTTGAAGGTTTCATCGATTTCTGTGATACACTTACTTTACTTAAAGTTAGAGCAGTTGACGTCACACTTGGAGGAACTGAATTCGATATCGACTTTTTAATGGTGGTGGTAAATAGGTCCATCAATCTTGAAGGTTTAATCGATTTCTGAGATACGCTTACTTTACTTAAATTTAGAGCAGATGACGTCACACTTGGACGAATTAAATTCGACGTCGACTTTTCAATGGTGGTGGTAGATACGTCCATCAATCTTGAAGGTTTCATCGATTTCTGTGATACACTTACTTTACTTAAAGTTAGAGCAGTTGACGTCACACTTGGACGAATTAAATTCGACGTCGACTTTTCAATCGTGGTGGTAAATAGTTCCACCAATCTTGAAGGTTTCATTGATTTCTTTGATACACTTACTTTACTTAAAGTTAGAGCAGTTGACGTCACACTTGGAGGAACTGAATTCGACATCGACTTTTTCAATCGTGGTGGTAAATAGTTCCACCAATCTTGAAGGTTTCATTGATTTCTTTGATACACTTACTTTACTTAAAGTCAGAGCAGTTGACGTCACACTTGGAGGAACTGAATTCGATATCGACTTTTTAATGGTGGTGGTAAATAGGTCCATCAATCTTGAAGGTTTAATCGATTTCTGAGATACGCTTACTTTACTTAAATTTAGAGCAGATGACGTCACACTTGGACGAATTAAATTCGACGTCAACTTTTCAATGGTGGTGGTAGATACGTCCATCAATCTTGAAGGTTTCATCGATTTCTGTGATACACTTACTTTACTTAAAGTTAGAGCAGTTGACGTCACACTTGGAGGAACTGAATTCGACATCGACTTTTCAATCGTGGTGGTAAATAGTTCCACCAATCTTGAAGGTTTCATTGATTTCTTTGATACACTTACTTTACTTAAAGTCAGAGCAGTTGACGTCACACTTGGAGGAACTGAATTCGATATCGACTTTTTAATGGTGGTGGTAAATAGGTCCATCAATCTTGAAGGTTTAATCGATTTCTGAGATACGCTTACTTTACTTAAATTTAGAGCAGATGACGTCACACTTGGACGAATTAAATTCGACGTCAACTTTTCAATGGTGGTGGTAGATACGTCCATCAATCTTGAAGGTTTCATCGATTTCTGTGATACACTTACTTTACTTAAAGTTAGAGCAGTTGACGTCACACTTGGACGAATTAAATTCGACGTCGACTTTTCAATCGTGGTGGTAAATAGTTCCATCAATCTTGAAGGTTTCATTGATTTCTGTGATACACTTACTTTACTTAAAGTTAGAGCAGTTGACGTCACACTTGGAGGAACTGAATTCGACACCGACTTTTCAATGGTGGTGGTAAATAAGTCCATCAGTCTTGAAGGTTTCATAGATTTCTTTGATACACTTACTTTAATTAAAGTTAGAGCAGTTGACGTTACACTTGGAAGAACTGAATTCGACATCGACTTTTCAATGGTGGTGGTAAACAAGTTCATCAATCTTGAAGTTTTCATAGATTGTCGTGATACACTTACTTTACTTAAATTTAGAACAGTTGACGTCACACTTGGACGAATTGAATTCGAGATCAACTTTTCAATGGTAGTGGTAAATATGTCCATCGATCTTGAAGATTCCATCGATTTCTGTGATGTTAAAATAAACGTTTTTCTTAAGTAGATTTTTGCTATAAATTCTTCACGAAAAATATTTAGTTTTAATATTTTAAGTTTTGCTAATAAAAAGTAGATGATTTAAAAGATTGTATCAAATATTTAAAGCTAATATTGTTAATGGGATGATAGGATGTTGGCTTATCAATACATAAATAAACATATAAGAATAGTTCATAAAAATAATGGTATTTATACATTTAATTTGAGGGAGTTAGCTGAAATAGCTTTCCAAGTGGTGTTAAAATAATAGTATTGAATATATAACTAAAGTTATTTAGGCCCAAAATAACTCTAGATTAAGTGAAAAAACGAGGGTAAATATAGGAGTGGAGTAAAAAATGGAGTCTAATCAATTCGAACAAAAAGAATAGCACTGTGCTCAACTGCACTGTTAGTTAGATTTAATTTACTCAGTTTTTTACGGCATAGCAAGATGTATGAAAAATAATAAAACTAACCACTTTTTGATGAAATGATCCATTGTTACACAATTCAACCATGATGTCAATAATAGCTTGAAAAGACAATGATTTCAAGTGCGAACTCTGGTACATTGACGCTGCAATGATATCGTTTAAAGTGAAACTTGAAATAAGACTCTCGGCTTCCCCAGAGACATTAAGAACACGATGGCTTATGTTTGATGGTACTCTAGTGAGCTGATTAATCAACTGAGAAACTGAAATATTCAATAACAGTTCTTTAGAAGAGTACTTGTTTTCCAAATAGCTAACTGAGTGCCCTTCTGATATTCTTCGTAAAATAGTAAATGAATTACATGAGTTGTTTGTTGAACCAACTGTAAAAGTAGCCAAAGTCAGAAGTTCTGTTTTCATGGAATCAACTTTGCAAACCATATTCACATCGTCAAGGGCAAATTTAGCAGAAAAGAGATAATCGCTAATCGACCAATTGTACAAAACAGTCAACTGATTTTCAGTAAAGTTGGTAAACCGATAGATAACCTCAAATACATCTTTTTCTCCGACATTAATTGAACCAAGCTGCTCAATAACTTTTTGTAATGGTAACGTCTCAAGGATTTTTTTGTCATTTGATAAAGGAATGATTGTTTTTTCCAGCAAATTGATCATTTCATTGACGCTGTAGTTTTGCACTACGGAATAAGACTTGTTGATAAGGGACGAAAGTGCGTCAACATCTATAGACATTTTCTCCGCTGCATTGTGAAATGATTCATTAACAATGATGCTAATAAATGGATGCCATCTATCAGGGCATGAGAGTAGCATCTGTTGAGAAAAATTGTGGTTTCTTGCTACAACTTCATTCTCAGTGACGAAAAGTTTCTGAAGTACACTTTTAGTGAAAAGCTTGAGTATATTGTTTAATGTCATGGATTTCACACGAGAAATGTTAGTTTTGGTGACTTTTGTAAACTCTGCTTCAGATAATTCAAATGTTTTGTAAAGTTGATTTAACACAATTTCCTTGTAATTTGGGAGTTTTTCAAGCAACATTGTTGTGTTGTATAAGTAAGTGTCAGTTTCATTCAATGTGAATTCTTCCATTTTAGTCACACTAGTATTTATCATTTCAGCTAAGTGGCATTTGGTTAACTGCAAAGTGTTTGTTCTATGTTCGAGAACATTTTGAACAATGATCCCAACAACGTATGTCCACTCTTTTCATCAACGGCATAATAATCTGATAAATCATAGTTTAGTTTGCGCAATATTTCACTTGTGTTAAATTTGTATTTTTTCTCCAAAACTTTCATAGCATACTTCTGGATATCACAAATCGTTGTATTACTATCGATTGACGTCAAACTCCCACCAGATGCAGCCAAAATACTTTGCTCATCAACGGAGTACGACCATTTACTCATTTTCGTATATTTGAGATTGCTCAGTTTCATTGTTTTAGAAACATAAGCTGATACAACTGTAAAAAAAACTACATTTATTTTTTTTTGTATTGTATCTTTAACTGGTTCTCCAGAAGATCTAGAAGCGTCCAAAGGTGTCACTTTAGAGAAAAATGTTTTGTCTTTTTCGTAAAAAGTATTTATTTGTTCATCTTTTAATCTTTCTCGGTGTTGAACAAGGGGGTTGATCGTAACAGGAATAAGATAACTTGGAGATGTAGTTGCTACCAGACATATTAGCCTTTGTAACACTATCCAGGTATTGACGATGAATCTCCTTTGGTTAAACTTGGTCATTATTTTCGTTCACATCTAAATCTAAGGTAAAAACTGATTTAAACTATTATTTCTAAGATATTATTGATAAACAATCTTCAAAGTAATATAGACCCACAAATATTATTTTTTACTTAACAGTAGTTAGGTTAATACAGCAGCATTCGCATTTGAGTAAAGATACCTAATTATGTTAATGCAATATTCTATTTCTGTTCATTATAATTACACATAAAATATATTTCTTTTGTGTAGATGCTCACATACAGTAGCGTAGCCAACATGATTTGGTCCTGCTATCATCACTTAAGATATCTAATATTTTAAATTGATTAAAGTCAGAAATCATTACATAGCATGCAAAACTAAATTAGCAAGCTGGCTATGGCACTGCTCGCTTATGTATGGTTATTTGATACAATATTTCTTTTGTTTCTATTTGAAAAGATTACAATTAAAATGTAGCGAATCTAACTTCGAAGTTACATTCCATTGTGGTTTTGCTGATATCGTATTGAGAATGGTGAGCATGTGACTGCAAGATGCAGCTGCAAAAGCATTAAAAAGCAAAAAAAATAGTCAAAGTACCTGTAAGGGGGCAATGCCAAAAAGACTTATTTGTCTTTTCATGTCATATATAAAAGTAAAAAATGCTTTGGATTTTTTTAATCTATTGTTTAACGTGACATAATTATATTGTGCTTAACGCATTACCATGGAAACACAAACATACAAGCTAAAATTCATATTACTCAAACGATTAAAAATGTTTCGTAAAAATTGCGTGATTAGTAAATAATATTTGTAAGTATTCTTTAAATTATCAATATCCCTTTTGTTTTTAAGCTGTATGGCTTTGTTAGATATTCATTCACGTCTGCCTTGTGACATTTGAGGGAATGAAATTTATAATATTAAATTGAAATAACTTATTCTTTTACGTTTTCTTCGTACAGAATGCTTCTAAATGACATGCATAGCGATGCATGATTCTCATTTTATTAGCTAAATGAATCTCACTTATTTTTTCAAGAAATGCGCAGTCTTTGGTTCAAAAATCCACTTCTAAATGCATTTAATTTATCATACCACTACCCACCCCTCGTTGTATTAAATATTTCACAACCCAAATAACGTAGCATTTCAAAAGATTCCTGAAGTGTTCGTTTCTTCCCGAATATCTCGCATAAGTTTCAGAAAAAGTTCTTTTTGTACGGCGTTAAGATTATTTGAAAAAAATATCATTATTTTAATACTCTATCTACTGCAGACTAAATTTTATTTAGCTGGTAGCTACCAAATAATGACATTTGACATTGCAAATGTTTGTAAGTAATGAAATTGGACAGTGTATAATCATGCACTTAGCTATAAAATGAATGCGATTTTTACTTATCAAGCAAAAAGAACTCATTTCATGAATCTCGTTTTACATTAACACAAATTGCGTATATTTTTATGTATTTTACAGTTATCTTACCAAAAATTCTTCGAATTGGTGTAGGAACCATTTAGTAGCGTATTGTACATCCTTAGATTCATCGAAAGTTTCGACTATATTCATATAAGAATTATTTTATTCTTTTATGCGGAAAATAACATTTACGGTTCTCGGTGTGTCATTGTTACTCATTTGCATTCGATACAGGTGTTTATTTCTAGTTTGAACCACCTGCTCGATTTTGCACAGCTGACATAATCTTGTTTCGAATGAGATTCTTTTAAAATAAAAAAATATTTCAACTTTACAATTAGCAAAAAGTGCATTAAGTATATGCAGCTAACCAAGCACACAATTTATCCTCAAGATGTAGATAGCTACGAATCAAACATAAGTTTTTTTTACTTTTTAGCTAAAGTATATGTGGCCTCAGTCAAATAACGTCGCGTGCAACCGTGCAAACCATGTTGTATTAGATTATTAAGTTCTAAAGTATCAATTATTTTGTTAAAATTTATTTACGTCAACATGCAATGACTCCGTTAAATAACATAGCTACTACACAATAACCTGACACCCTCTTTAATATGTTTTCATCTCTTTTTGCCATTTTTGGAGCTATTTTATACGCAGCATAATATGTTTTTGTTTAATTTTTTAAAAACTTTCAAAATTTTTTGTGAAAAGAAGGAATTAGCTAACTTTATAAATCAACACCTTTCTTCAACCAGCTGATTCGCGGCAGTGACTTGCTCACATGAAGAGGGAGGAGAGGGAAGGGAAGGCCATGGCTTATAAGACTCGGCAATGCAAATATTTTTTTGCTAACACTCATGGCGAAAATGATAGATTTTTATAAAGGAATGAATAAGGATGGTATTCTGAAATTTTCATAACATGAACAAAACATTCTTGGCTAAATTAATAATTAAAGGAATGATTAGTTTACGTAACATGGACAAAATATTATACCCTATATCAGCGTAAGTCACAAGAAATATCGTTGCGTGCATCTCACATGACTAAAAAAGTGGTCTGTTATCAGTTGTCTTACAGCCTGGTTTTTACTAACAACATAAGCAGGACAAGCAAAGACAAAATAAATAGCAAAGAAAAGACAAAAGAATGCAATGAATTAAGCTTCATGCACAATCATCGACATAGACATAAACATAAGCCCAGCACCTTGAAATACACGTAAGCTAAATAAAAACAAAAGCAAATTGAATAGCAAACTTCTATTGCTTTGTTTTCTCCAAACTTAGAAAAATATACTCTTTTTCGTTTTCTTGCAATGCTTATGTGGCTAGTGAAAATCAGACTTGTGTTAACGCAGCATATACAAAATTAAATTATTTTTATTTTATATTCAAATTATAAAAAATTCATATTATTATTTTCTTTGTTTTACATTTCAAACCATTCAGTTGAATCAACTATCTTTCGGGATGGCTCTTATTTTTGAAGAACTTAAAACTGCCATCACAGCAAAAATATGAGCCATCCCGAAAGAGGAGTGTATAAAAGTGATTCAAAGCTTTGCCAGACGAGTACAGGTTTGTTTGCAACGAAATGGTGGACATTTGGAACACATCTTGGGAAAGCCATAAATTGACTAAAAATTGAAATAACGAAATTTTGTGAATAGTCTTCCATAAACTGAATGATGTGTGGTTGTAATTTGAAATAAATAGCTTTTTAATTGAAGCCATAATTGAAATTTTCATGGGTACGAATCTTTTTGGGTCACCCTGTACATTTGATACGTCCCTTTTGACTATGGTAATGGTTTATTCCAGAAATTCTACTTCCAAAGTTTTCATTCATTTCCAAATTCCATCAAAATGATATATTTTCGACCTGAGCCCAGAAGCTGTCGAGATTTTCATGTGCATTAAAATGGAGGATTATATTTTGGAAACTTTATTAATAAGAGGAACACAATTTATTGCAGAATGGGTTTGTTATATTTGTGGTGGGTAACCATTGCCCTTAGAATAAGAAAATAATGGAATGCTGGCCATGTTGCATGAATTGGAATTGTAAATAAGGAAAATCCTTTGTTAAAATCATCCAGCATGGCAGCTATGAATTACCAAGCAGCTTACAATAAAATATATGATAATACATGGAGTTATTTGATTAAAGTAATTCGCTGATCTAGTAATAGCTATGTATTAGTTTAACTACAAGAATAAGATAAAATATGAATATTATTCTTTAATATAACCTTTAATAATTGTATAATTAACTTAAAGTCAGGTACAAAGCCATGAAACAATCAGCAAGGATATCATTCGTATCGCAGGATCTAAATAATATATTTATGTTTCGTTTAAAGAACAGCAATATTAACATAGGCACTCAATATTTAACACATGCAAATTCATACAGGGTGTATTAAAAAAACTGCAAACTACAATTTGCCTCGCATGCAGTCTCTATACAAACTTGCAAGCATTGGCTTTCATCTTTTACTAAGATTTTAAAATACGTGTACATTGTAAAGTGTATAGTTCTATAGCAACGTTGTCAGGTAACTACATAAAGAACAACAAGTATTTTGCTAAATTACACGCAAATGCAAATTCCTATCAAAGGGATAAACTGTTTACAAAACGTAAAGTGATGAATTGTGGCAACTATATATTGAAAACCTCAAAAATTTTTGGCTGTACTTCATATGTAACATTTTAATAATAAAGCTCCATAAACAATCACATATGCTGCATGTTCCAGAACAGTGAGAAGATCCATATAATTGAAGGGCTCATATTCATAGCTATATCCGAAGATGATACCTTAATTTTCGATATATTGAGTCATAACGGCCTTAGTGCAGGCAGTATATATATCTAAGGATTACAGAATGACTGCATTTAGGCATTTCTGTGCAATCGGAATATTGAAATAATTTTTTAAATATTCCTGGTCATTGTTCAAATCATGTGCTTGTTTGCAAAATTTCGGATACAGTGAGCAGTGAGCATGATAAGATTTTTTGAAAAGTGAGCATGATAAGATTTTTTGAATGGAAATAATGAAGATTATCTCAAAGCAAATTTTCCAAGAAATTTTTCCAATTAAGATACAAAGCTTATAAATTTTCAACAAACCTGATCGGTGATTTTTTGCGAATGACCGTGGACGGGCTGTTGGTTTTTTATAATTAAAAGCGTTAGAAGCAACTTCCTCAAATCGATAATTTGTGGGCTTCATAATTGTGGTGGTAGCCGTAGAGTAGTTGGTGGTGTTGTAGACCTAAATTGTGATGAGGTGTAGTGATTGTGATTAAAATAACGAACATCTTTATTTTTTATTGGGGCTTTAAAATCAGCTCATAGCTACTCGTAGATTGCATTTTCACTCTGCCTGTTGCTTGATTTTAAACGTTTTAGCAAAAATCTTCCCCTTTGTCGAAGGAATAATTTTGCTATTAAATAAAAATGATTTCTCTTTAAAATTTAGTGAGTTTGGGTGAGAGTGATCTTTTAGAATACAGCGTAAATCTCACACAAAATTTATTTATTAAATGTAAGCATGTACCTTCACTTTTTGATCAACTGATTCATGGATTACCAGTTGATGGACTGTTGGTTTTTTATAATCCAAGGCATCAGATGTGACTTCTTCTAACTTGTAATTTGGGTTTTTGATATCCGTAGTGGTGGCTGTAGGGTAGTTAGTAGCTTGGTAGACCTAAATTATAATCATGTGTAGTGAATGTAATTAACATAACGTCTTCACCACTATTCGCAAAACAGAAACTAACCTTGGTTCAACCCAGGTTTGTTTATGTCGTGTGAAACGTTTAAGGTCACTCATACTCACACTAACATAGCTACGTATTGCGTGGGCTTTAAAATTACCTCATACCTACTTGAACATGGTATTTTCCCTACTCTTGATTGCTTATGGAAATATTTTAGCATAAATTTTGCCCTCTTTAGAGGAAAAAATTTGCCATTGATTAGTTGGAGTTCTTTGTCACATTTATACTTTAGTGTGAGTGTCAGTGAGTCTGAGTGAGATTTTAGAATACAGCGTAAATCTCGCACAAAATTTCTTTCAAAATAAGTAAATACCTGTAATAGTTTATCAAGTGAACCATTAATTATCAGTTGACTGATGAGAAAAGCGATTCTTGTTATTGGAATTTCTTGCAAGTTGATCAGAGTGTAACTGGTTAAATGTGAGATATTAGTCAGTGTAAGCTTTTCCAATAACCATTGAGTGATTGCATCACGACTCAATACTCTTGTATTCAAATGCAATGATGAATTTGTTAAGTTTGCCATTACTGAAGCAAGAGGCTCATCTATTGCGATGGTTTTTTTGGGTGAATATAATTTGGCCAAATCATCAAGACTTGCTTGATTCCATACCATTTTCAACACGTGAAACTTAGTACAATTTATCTTTTTGCTTCTTTCACCGACGTTCAATTTGGCCAACGAACTTAATGTTTTCTTGTTAATATCAAAAGAGCACTCATTTCCAAGATCTTTTACGGTAAACAATCTTTCAAAATTATGATCATTTTTTTTCCATCCGTAAAAGAATCTTAATTGTCGTTTTCTCAAATGAGTAACATGTTTAATAATAGACAACGAGTTGTGCTTTTTAATATTGAGAACATTATCACTGTACATTTCCTTTAACGTGGACAACGTTAACTTTTCAATCTTTTGTTTGTCTTGTTGTAATTGGTTGATAGTTCCGTTAATAAGTTGTATCATTTCCAGTAATGGAAGTTGTCGTATACTACGGTATGAAATTCTCATTGCTTTTGCTAGTGATTTAGGTAAGATTGACATTTCCTTTGCTTTGTTGTCAAATGCTCTAATGATCATTAACTTTTTATATGACTCCCACTGATGAGGACAAACTGTTTTGTTTTCAAAACGTTTCAAATGTTCTTTAGAAAGATTTAAGCTGCCTAAAACGGTTTTGGTAAAATGTTGAATACTGTCTTTGACTCCTAGATTTTTTATTTCTGTAACGCTCTTGTTGCTCAATCCAGCTATTTGAATGGGCGTAATTTGGACTTCTTCATAAAAGTTATGCATTGTATTTTCCTTATACAATGACAATTTCTTAATCAACTTAGTACTGTTTAAATATTTGTCAATATCATTCAATGTAAATGCTTCCATTTCTTTTTCCGTTTTTCCTATAAGTTCAGCAAGGTAACATGGTGTCAAGTTCAGTTTGTTCGTTATATTTCGGATGACAATTTTAGTGATCATACCAACAATTTTAATCCATTGCTCTTCATCCGCAGCATAAAAATCCATTAAACTCAAACAAAGCTTTTTCAGGATAAAATTCGTATCGAATCCGTATTTCTTGCTCAGAACCTTCATTGCCACCTCTTGTATTTTAAAGATTTCTGTGTTCTCAGTTAGGTTGTTAATGCTTTGATTAGACTCGAGCAATTTTGACACAGGAATACGATACGACCATTTGCTTTCACTCATTTGCTCTATTTTTAAGGTTTCCGAGACTTGAGCTGCAGCAGCCATTCGAAACAGAGTTTTAACTGATTTCCTGATAGTTTCGGTGAGATTTTCCCCTATGCTTTTTGCAACGTCGTTTACTGTAACTCGAGAGTAAATTTGTTTCTTTGATTCATACAAGGCATTTGGGAATTCAGGTAATAGCCAAAGCTGAACCACAGGACTTGTCGACACTGGAACGACAATGAAGTCTTTATTAGTGGCTTCACAAGTGGATAAGTAAAGCGAAAGACAGACAATAAGAAAAATCATATTTCAGCACTCTATTTTAGTATTAACCGCGTAATGATCGAACAAGTTCAGTAGAAATTTAAATAAAACTTATAGTAAAAAGGTAAAAGATATCTTTCAACGCTACTTTTTTCTTTTAACATCCTAATTGTGTGTACGCCAAAGCATGAAAGTCTTTCCTCTGACCACATGCACATTGATGAACTTTTTTTATTATTTATTACGTAAGCAATGTCGCTTTTGATTGGTCAACAAACTGGAAATAATTCTCGATATCTGTAGGCTTGACGTCATATGTACAAATAATAGTTTCTAAAATTATAGACGCCATTAAAAGCCGGTTTTGAAAAAAAAATCAAACAACAGCGATATTTGCCACAATTTCTAAAAAAAATTTGAAAGCTTTTAAACAATAAGGATGCGGAAAACACTAAAAATGCAGCGAAGCTGTCTGTGAACATATTTACAACATATTTAGACGAGACGAACTTGAATAAGCCGTCTCGTAAAAACAAATTAGCGAAGGCTTGTAAAATGTTTTATATTGATAGGTTTTAATAATATTTCAGTTAGTTAGAGTGAATAATAAAACAATTATTGATCTCGGCTTTTGCATGATATAAAGATTATTTAGACCTCAGTCAGTGTTATCTGCCAAAGCGAAGCTGAGGAAGATAACGTTGACCTCGGTCTGACTAATTCTTGATGTCATGTTCAACCTCATCCCATAATTGTTTAATAGTATCGCAGCTATTGTGGAAAAAACTAAAAAATATCCAAAAGTTAATGACATTTTTTTGATTTTGTGGTCTATATTATTTAGAGTGCGTATAAATTTATTAATCTTGTCAAAATTTTTGCCTTTCAACGCATCACATTCGCATTTATACAGATTTCACTTCAAATTCACCTATCTAAACTAAAATTGGAAAAGCTGATTGCGTTTTTACATCAGAACGAAAAATTTTTCACAAGTCAACTTTAACCATTGGGCTACAGTTTTTTAGTCTAAAATGTTCTTGTAAAATAGACATGTGTGAAAATAGTTTAATTCACCTGTCATTTTTAAACCAAATGTACTATAAAAAACTAACACGACATATATTAGATAATGAAGCCTTTCAAGTCCAATCTTCAACGAGGAATGTTTTAACTACAACTATGTATGTTGATGAGTTAACGAGCTAACGATTAAAACAAATTAAGATGCCTATCAAACTTTCACTTGAGAACAGTGTTTGTTATAGTTTCCAAACATAGCTCAACAAAATTCACGACAATGCGATTTGCATACGTATTTAAACATACGTAGTATATCAGTCATACCCACACTCACGGGTGAAACGATCCAAGAAATATTTTGATTGGTTCAAAGACTTTGTGCCAGTTACGTATATGAACTGTGCAATCTTGCGATAAAGGTTATTTGTCGAGATGATTTAATTGCATACCCCATGTTGTATGTTTATATTATTATTGCTATATTTCATCGAAGTAGAATCTCAGCAGCCCATTAATAATCCAAAAACTAAAATGAAAAACACAGGACCGCAGATGATTGATTATTTAGGGGGGTCTATATTTATATATAAATACTCTGTTCTTAGTTTGGATTGAAATCAAAAAATTTGGAAATATGAGCTCCCTAATTATAAATCGTTTGCAACCAGTGAGAAAACATTCAATGGGATCTGATTAGCTATCTTGCTAGGGATTTGGGAAAATGTTATTACGAAGTAAAAAAGTTTATGAAGTGTTGAACCATGTTTTTTATCATACGAGTATTGAAATCTATGTGCAACAAAACGGTAAAATAAAAATCATATGCCTAAAACTTCCGAGCTTCTAATTGGGCATATCATTTTCTTCACAAGTGAAAAACGCCGTATCTGCATTCTGATTGGATATATCATTTGTTTCACTAGTGACAAAATGCATATCAAGTTTTATCGCCAATGGTGGACAGCATCAAAATTAAGGAAAACGAAAACAATCTTTTTAATTTCATTTATCAATAGCTTTGCAACTTGCCAAAGCGAATTCAATATAAATGTAATGAAAATGATAAACTATTTGCAGGACATTGGATTTCTTCAGTAATTTTCATCGTCCAAACATTTATTACTTTCGAAGCATGGACAATTCCCGCCAAGCAACTTAATGAATATCTAAGCGGGCTCATTACGCTTTCGTTCGAATGAAAAAAGACAACGTAAAATACGAATCTAGTTATGTCGTAAGAGAGCTTTCATAATGTTACGAGAGAAACGTTTGTTTTCAATTCTTTTGCAACTTGTGCATAAAAATTGTACACACTCACCAACCATGAAGCAATCGCTACGAAATCGTAAAAAACCTAAGTAATTGTTTGTTGATCTAATTAGGCAGTACAAATATAATTGATTGATGTTAATTTTCAATTTCTGGTGGCCAAGGTTTTTGAAAGAAATGAATGCTTATTTTTTAAGATAAATTTTACATTAGGCTGTATTTCAATTTTCACCGCATGTTTGCATTTTTCTCAATTTAGCGTTTAACTTATCGACAATAACAAAATTTAATCATACATATTATGCACGTTACAGATATTTTTTGCCGACTATCAATTTCGGTTGCCTTCACTGTTGTCATCAATCAATCACTGACATGCTTCATAGCTGTTTATCAATCATTGCACAATTACACTTAAAATATGATGAACAAATATATTTTCTTTGTTTTGCTTAGATATATTATTGTAATATAAAGCCCAAAGTTATAACTATACCCTTCTTTGCTGCAGCTCAAAAGAGAATTGGCAGATCGAGAATATCACAAAACGTACATGCATGACTATCAATAACTGCATGAGCATCATATTAGTCCATATACGTAGGGTACGTAACAGTACAGTTGTAATACAAGTTCTCTGGTTTTAAGAAAGTCAAAAGCTACTTATCGTGAGCACTGTCGTTACTACAATTTTCCAAAAAATCGTGCCACTTTAGCAGTCAGCCACCATTGACATATCTATGCTTTTCAAAACAAATCTCAACAGTGAACAGTATTATGTTGAGGGATGGGAAGGATGAGTCTTAGATTATAATTGTGAATAAAAGATTTATAAGAAGATCAAAAAGGATTTTTCAAAAAGAAAATGAGCAAATTAAAAGAAACGTATGATTTAAGTAACAGTTAAGACTTTGGTTTGCCAGTTGTTCCTATTAATACAATTCATAAAACCGTTAAAAACACTTTTTAAACCCTAATTTTTGACATGCACTCAGGACTATCCCTTGAACGTTGATTGGAGGATGCTTTAAATTAATTCTTATTTTCATTTGTGCCTGAATGATTTCTTTTGCAAAGAATATCACTGATCATATCATCTTGCTACACACAAACTCTCAAAAAAACTCCCACATCTACAAACACCTACAAAATCCTAACTGCAAATCCAAATACACTCAATTCTGTTTCACAGTGCCAGACACTACCAACACTCCCTTCTGTCTGAAACGTAAAGAATCTTTTTAGCTACATACATAAACACAAACCTAACCTCTGCAAACAAATTCAACATTTCAATACCATTTTCCGCATATTCCGCTACTTGTTTTAATTATAACTTCTTACTGTTATCCATGCTCACTAGCTCATACATCATCTTGTAAATAATTATTTATTGAGCATTACCTCACTCAAGTCATATCTTATACTTACTGAATTATACATCTCACACTATGACAAATGTATGTACTCATTAACACTGAAGGTCACTTATAGTATCGTATTTTTATTAAACCGATGGATCAACTTCAAATGATTCGTTAATCTTTTGATGATAGGATCAAACAGGAAACATATGATTGAGATGCCAAAATATATACATCATTTTTGGTTTTTTATATATAACGATATATAAGATAGATGTATACATAAGATAGATTTATAACTTAATATAAATACAAACTGATATATTTTCTAAAATTAAAAAAAAACATGATCTTCAAACTTCTTTGGATCAAAGGTCAAAAACCTGCAATAATACAAACGTTAGTTTGAAGTCAATTTTCTTTGACAAATCTAACAAACTATTTTTCACAAAATTCATTTAAATCAAATACTTCTATGTTTTTATAGTAGCTAAATGCACTTAGATTTTTCACAACTTGCATGCAAGGTCTAATTAATATATTAGCTAAATCAAACTCAAGTTGATTGTTTAGAGACAAAAACATTTTCATTTAAAGGATAGTAATATATATATGCAGTTATGAAGACAATCTTTTCATCAAAATATTTTGTGGTTTGATTTGAATGTAAGGGGTGGTTGTAAAAATTTATAATTGGGGAAGCTCATTTTCATATATATTTATGTTGCATAATCCGTAATACTGAACAACTGATTTTAATAGAAACCATTAAAGTTACACATGCATGTATGAATGACCCCCCCCCCCTAATGACCCCCCTCTTCTGCCGCTAATGGCATGTGTTTTTTATTTTCATTACATTACTTTTGACATGGAAATTATTTCGTCATGTGTAATATACCTCAGACTTGTCAGACTCTTCAGGCTTTGCGGGCTCGTCGCCTTCATTTATTGTCTCGAAATTACCGACACCACTTATCCTCAACATTGAACGAGCGGCTCTTACTTCTGATTCGTTATTTGCCAAACTTATCGGAGGACTGATGCTGACATTTTTTGACTTTAATCCATACCTTTTATTGCTCATTATATGTATGCTTTTCCCATCATTAGCGTAAATAAAAAGAAGCTTAATAATGTGTCATGTTATACGCTTTGCAGAAAGCTTTTTAAGATTTACTGTGTTTATTGATTAGAATCTTACTGGGAATTGTTTATGAAAAACATGCATGCCGAGTAAATTTTGAAAATTCAAATTTTTTTCCATTGTTTTTTCATTTGATTCATGTAGAATAAAAAGCAACGAAATCAATATCTAAACTGTCTTACATTACAACATTTTTGTCTGAATTTTAGTGACTTGGGTTAAATTCTGGCTAAATGAGGAAAGTTTTGAAGAACTTTTCATAATAAAAGATGGAAGGGCATTCAATGAATTACATAGGATACTGTTTTTATCAGCAAAAATAAGTAAAAAATAAGGTACAATATCAACAGATATTTTGTAGAGTGAAAAGAAACAAAATGTGACATAGTTTAGTCAACTAAAACCACAAAAAACGATGAACTGAAATGTTCATAATTGAAAACAACAAGCGGAATTATAATAATAAAAAAAATTTACCTTTTAACTTGACGTTTATGCTTCATAGACTTAAATAAAGCGACAATGATCAGGATTAATAAGACGATGATGATTGGAATAAAAATCATAAGAAGTTTGCTGTCATCGTCCTCTACATGATAGAAATGGTAGCCAATGTTAGTTCCTGCATGACAATACAACTTTCTTCATAAATTAATAAATCACTCTCAGTTTCTCAAAATGCATGATTACAGTAATTTATGTAGAAGGAAAAGAAACACCAAAGGTTATTTAAATTGTTGATTAAAGTAGGCGACTTAATTTACACTCTTATGGAACTATATAATGTTTAAAAAACCTAGATAAAAATTATATATATATAGCTATATTTACTTCCAAAATTTATTTCGGCCTATCGACTTTTTTCAACTGTATGCTTTTTTTGCTTACACTACCAATCAACGTATTTTAACAGAAAGAATAGAAGGGGCTCTTGAGACGTTATTGTTGCTATTTTAACTTTTTAATCTAGTGTTGATGAAATAACAACTAGCAAATTTTGCATCTGAATACAAAATTAGCCTTACCTTTCGTATTCGAATTTGGTACATTTTCTCTGTCTGTTCAAGAAAAATAAAAATTGAAAATAGATAAAGAAGTAAAGTGAAAACCTGTAAAAATATTGTGCTGAGAACACGTATAATCCTTTACCACACCAGACGTGACTGTTTTTGAAACAACATGGCTAATTTACGCTAATTTATAAAAATTCCTTGATTATTTATCATTCATCACTGGCATGATTGCAGAGTGATTTTAATGAATGTAATTTCTGCTTTCGGTCATCAATCGAAAAACCACATAAACATAATACTACATGCATGCATTGACTTTAGGATTCACGACGTCACCATGAAGCATGTCACTACCAAATCAGACAATTGATTTTTTAGAAACAGTTTTCGTATGTTTTACAGCTCTCTTTTCAATTATGTCATTTTTGAACATTTTTATGCATTTTTTATTTAACTAGGATGTTGTTTAGTCGAAGACGTTCGAAACTAAAATCATTTCAGCTTTTTGATAAACTACAGCCATTAGGTTGGAATAATGGTTAGTCTAAGAGAGGGTTCTCATTTTTTTGTGTTAAAAAATTAAAAGTTGAAAGCAAATATGGGTTCAAAATATGCTTTGTTTAAAAGATACGGGTTTTTTTAAAAGGAACGTTTGCTAAATTGGGTTGATCACAGAATAAGGGACGGGTTAATGTTGATGCTTGCGCAACTTAGTATAAATTTTTTGTAAAAAAAGGGACGACAGGCTACATGGCTCCTCTCAATACTACGGTACTGTTGTGCCAAGGTATGCAAAGTAAAAGTGAGCATTGATTTTTTACCTTTTGAAATAGACGATACGATGCTTGGTAACAATGAAGTGACTCTTGGTTTAATGTTTCCAATTCCTTTGAGTATGGTGCGGGAACTACAATATATGGACTGCTTTTGCTCAATAGAAACAACATGGAACCAGATTGCTGGATATTTTGGTCATTAGACGATGTCCTACCGAGGAATGTGTCAAAGACATTGTTGACAATCGTTTTTCAACTAACGAGTAAAAGAAGTCGTCATTTTGAGAGCTTTGTAGTGAGGTCTGACTGTTTATTTCATCATATGAAAAATATGTCATTGATATTGAACTCAGTTTATCCATGCTAGGCATGGTCTTAATATTGCCACTTGAAAACTTTCTTATTTTAAAATTTGAACATTTATTTCCACAAGATCGAGGTATTTTAGTAGGCAAATCTGAAATTTGTACTGTTGTAACAATTCTGGGTGTTTGTTTTGTAATGCTACTAGATGATTGCTTCAGTTGCGAATTGAATCTTTCAGTTTTATAAGACGAAGGTATTTTAGTCTGCAAATCTGAAATTTGAACTGTTGTAACAGTTCTGGGTGTTTGTTTTGTAATGCTACTAAATGATTGCTTCAGTTGCGAATTGAATCTTTCAGTTTTATAAGACGAAGGTATTTTAGTCTGCAAATCCGAAATTTGAACTGTTGTAACAGTTCTGGGTATTTGTTTTGTAATGCTACGAAATGATTGCTTCAGTTGCGAATTGAAACTTTCAGTTTTATAAGACGAAGGTATTTTAGTCTGCAAATCTGAAATTTGAACTGTTGTAACAGTTCTGGGTGTTTGTTTTGTAATGCTACTAAATGATTGTTTCAGTTGCGAATTGAAACTTTCAGTTTTATAAGACGAAGGTATTTTAGTCTGAAAATCTGAAATTTGAACGGATGTAACAGTTCTGGGTGTTGGTTTTGTAATGCTACTAAATGATTGTTTAAGTTGCGAAGTGAAACTTTCAGTTTTATAAGACGAAGGTATTTTAGTCTGCAAATCAGAAATTTGAACTGGTGTAACAGTCCTGGGTGTTGGTTTTGTAATGCTACTAAATGATTGTTTAAGTTGAGAATTGAAACTTTCTGTTTTATAAGACGAAAATATTTTGGTCCGCAAATGTGAAATCTGATCTCCCTTTGACGTAAGTTGTGCAGATACAGAGCTACCTTGATTAATCAATGACCCTGACGAGTGGCTTATATTCCACATTAATGAATAATCTTGCGAAGTCAAAAACTGCATCTTACTTGATTTTTTCGATGGGTCAATAAACATTGATTGGGCTATGGCACTTGAAATTGAGACACTTTCTACATAGGATAATATTTTACCAATCGTATATTTTATGGTGTTTGTTTTGTGTAGATCAACACCTGTTTGGTAACTACTTCTTACGATCGATGAAGCCATAGTAGAACTACTTTGCCCATTAGAATACACAGTTGAATTAAGCTTGTGGTCTTTGGTGAAAGAAACTTTAATTGTCGTTGACAATGGCGTGATTGATTCTTTAACGATAGCCACGCGGGTGGTCTTTCGTGTGATTATTGTTGACTTTCTCTCGTCATTTAAACGTGAAGTCATTGTTGTCAGTTCTAAAGCATACAATTACAGAAACAGCTTGAAACATTTATTTTTTGCTTGAGTAAATGACGATGATAATCTTTTCTTAGTATTGTGTTGACTCTCTTTACTCGCTTTTGTCTTAAAATATATTATTTTTTGTTACATTGGGTATCTTAAGATTAAGAATAACTAAATATCAATGTAGACAATCAGACTATTTTGCAACGATCATATAACTAAAGAACGTGTTGTTACACATGCCAGAATTAGCAATCGTAAAGCCGGCAATGAAAGTAGAAAAGGTTTTTTACTTGTTCTTTATCGTCAGGACTCAGGACTTGATGATTTTGTTCATAATTTTTAATTAAAATTACTCCGATGGTGTAGAGAAAATATAATCTTACCCAAAATTGATGATGACATCGTACGCCTCGATTTTTCTGCTGCTTCTGTAAACAATAGTCATGATGTTAAGTGTTAATGATGTCATGTATCATTAACTATCATGCTATAACATGCAAATAATCATTATGGGATGAAATTTTTTTAGCTACAAAGAAAGCCCGGGGAAAAATAAACATTTTGGCTCCTTGGCTCCAATTGTTGCCCCATAGTGTTAGCTTGTTGAGCATCATGAAACATTTAGTAATTTCAATTTAGAAGGAAAAAAGTAGGATGACTGTCTCACCTCTGATTTTATCTGTTTTATTTATGAGTATATCTTCAAGTTGTAGCAACGTTGAATTATAGAGTTCAACCAACGACAAATTTAAAGCTCTTGCAATGACCATTGGTTCAACTTTATAATTTGATGATAACAGCCGAACGTTTATTTTTGTGATAGCATTTACAACTGTTATCCATCCATTTTCCAAAAATCCATAAATATTGAGAGTACTTGTCTTCAACTGTTTTGCAACGTCATTAATGTTGAAATTGAATCGCTTCTCCAAAATATTAAACATAGCCTCTTGAATATTCACCAGGCGTGTTTCTGCATTCAGTGGTAATGTAAGGTTAACGGAGGCTGAGACTAAATCCTCAACTTTCAATTGTATTGTCCATCTGCTTGGTGTTTTACATTCTAAATTATCATTTGTTAAACCATTAAGCTTTGCTGCAAGTCCAAGAATCATTAATCCATAAATTGTTTTTGATATATGGTTTCTGGACGGATATTTTAGTTCTTTTATCATGTCACTGTATGATATACAGTTATAAAACTCTGGATCCATCTTTGCAATATCACCTATCGAGCCATTTCTTTCTATAGCATCCTGAAGTAAAGGATTTATTGTAAGAGGCAATGAAAGGATATCTTTAGAAGCAGAGGTGGATACCACAATGGTAAAAACGACGGAAAGATATCTCATTGTTACAACATTCTTCTCAAAACTGTATGTGAAGAAATAAGAACTATAATGAACATCCAATTAAAGACAAGAAAATCTATCATATTGCATTATATGTGGTATTATAAAAATTATAGTTATTCCTTTTCGAAGAAAAAACAATAGCAAAACAGCAAACATTCAGAGAAAACACATAACTTTTTATAGCATATATTTTTAGCAACGTCAATGTCATCTATAGTTTAGAAAACTGAATAATGATCTCAGGGTCAATACCTATTTTAGTTCTTAATTTCGAATATATTCTTTCAAAAGTCAAGACCAATCCAGTCAAAAAACTTGCCCCCCCCCCCTCTTCTTACAAGATAGCTATTCATGGTCCCTCTGTGCATAAATTCCAGTAGGTTTATGGCTTCATCCAACAACTTAGAAATAAAATGCATAAGTATTTTGCCAAGGTTTGCATACATGATGATTTGTCTATAAGCTATGATTGCATGCAATGATATTTTACCAGACATCCGGGACTAGAATTGAAATCAAAAACATATTTCACTGTAAACAGCGGATGGAATCCCGGCCTTTCCTGCAATCTGATTGGCTGCAACAGCGGAAGTATATTTTATACGATATCTTGACCGCGGCCCGGAACCTTTATATCTGACAGCACTCCGGAATCATATGGCTAAATACTTTAGGGAAGAGTTGTTATGTTTTGTTTTGTTTCGTTTTGTAACTTTTTAAAAAGGAAATTATCAGCCAGCTTTTCATTGTAATAACTTATTTTAAGTAATTTTTGAGTTTTCAAGTAAAACGAACCAACGAAGAGCAAAGTTTTGATTGTTTACTTGGCTGCCATAATTAAATCTGACTGAGCAATCTAATAAAATTGTTGCCTTTAGTAAAATATAAATACGTTATTTACCGTTTACGTTCGTCCGGATAGAAAAATAAATTCCCGAGATCTTAGAAAGGGCCCTGGACTTCGGGTAGAGTCCCAAGGCCTGTGGGTCCTTTTAAGACGTCGGGAGAATATTTCTTTATCAGGACCCCCCACTCGATAAATAAAATATATTCATTTAATATATTTCAACAAAACTTCGGTGTTTTCGTTAAGATTACTCGTGAGCGACAAAACGATCAAGCTTGGCTAATCCAAGTCATTCATGTCATTATGTACAATAGAAATTACGCTATTAATAAGATTCTTTCGAAAAAGACATTTTTGCATCTTCCAATTGATGATAATGGCAACATATAAAATGTGGCAAAAATATAATAGTATAAATTAAAGACCTATTAAAGCCACGTCTCAGACCAAAGAAGTAATGGGGGAGGAGGGAGGAGCAATAAGCTCTACATTCATTTGCAATAACTAATAAGTAAAATTATTTAAGTGAAGAAACTTCAATTAGCCGTCAATTGTTAATTATTTACCAAAAAAATTTTACTTCTCTTATCATTAAAAACTGCATTACTATTGCAAAAGCGAACGTTATCATCAATCATAGTACGTGCCTAGTCCTTTCGAAACATATACGCAAGTGAGGTGAAATATTTTCGCTTATTTTTACTCGAATTTCTAGTTTAACTTCATGACAACAGTAAAAAAGCAGACTGTTGTATTGGATCTTGCAACACGCGATCTTAAAAACATAAAATATAAGTACTGAGGTCAATTGTACATTGATTTAAAACCACAAAAAATAAAATCAAACTGCTTTATACATTGTTAAATTAAACATATAATATAACTGAGTGGGGGTGAAGCCAAATGCTTACATTGTTGTTTGATATGAGAATTCTACATTGACAATGATATTTTTTTGGACACGATGTTTCCTAATTTGAAAAATACTTGAGCCCTTCTACAAATAACTTTTCTTTTAACATATATGGGGGCGGTTAATTAAGTCTGGTAGTTTCTTATTTTATAACCTTATTTTATAACTTTGTCATAAGAAACTGCTTAGCGATAAGCTTAACTCCTGTAAAGGCAATTTTTCTCAACATAAATGTATGAATTTTCAATTGTTTTTGTTAATGATGAGGTTTTTATTCTTAAGCAACAAGTCGTTAGTTTCCAATAATGCAAGAGACAGTTTGGATTTTCCATATGACGATAATTGAAGAAGTTATTTAAAAGAAGTAAATATTGAATGTTTACTGATCTTGTCTACATTGCTAACAAATCATAAGTAAATTAATTTCAAGCTTCATTCCAATACAAAGTCAAAGTTGTCGTGACTGTATATATATATAATTTCCTAATAAAGATAAATAATAAACTTACCTTTTAGTTTTACAATTATGAGTTTAATGACATTTTCTCCGTATACTGGAATATTTTACGAAACAGAAGCGTGATATTAGCTCTTGCTACAGAGATATCTAACTTATCCCAGTATTACGAAGATGCATAATTATTTTAATGATAAATTGTTGTTAAATTAAGTTTCAATTATGTTTTGTGTTAGTACAAAAGAACAGCGGTGGTATGCAAATTTTGCGTGAGAACTTATTTTGTTTAAATAACTCTACACAAAAACGTTTACAGTTTGTTTACGTAAGTATTCATAGTCGCAATTTTCACATATTTTATAGTGCAAAGCACTATTTAAAATATTCATTTCGAATAACAAACTCTTATATTTATTAATCCATGATTTAGTTGCGACTTAATTGATTTATTTTCACGATTGTAAAATTTTCAGACTTTCAGTTGTCATCTCGGTCATACAAACATGTGAATGAAGTCAGTCTTTGGCCGTATTTATTCGTATTATATTATACTGAAAATAAAATTTTTAAAACACATCCACAGAGCATGCGCAGCATCTATATTTGTTAGAAGACAAAAATTTATATTGGGATCTGCGACTTGCCAAATCGTTTAAAACATCAAAAGTAAGCATGCAGGAAGAGAAAATTATAAAAAACCAACTGTTCTTTAAAGTGCATCGCAAGCTATGCAAGTTTTATGGGACGTTTTGTCTTCAGACATTAACATGGGCAAAATATTTAAATCCCCAACATGTATCATTTACTACTGACATCAAATTGTAAGGGACGTTTCACTAAGTGCCCACTTTTGATACACATTTAGTAATCACAACTTACAGTGCCCATTTTAGTGGCCTTTTCACCAATATCTACAGTTTTGATCAACAAAACGCCCGTTGATAGTTACCTTAATTCACCGAAACTGACGCTCCATTTATGAAAACTTTTAAACACTCAAATTCACCCAAAAGTGTCTAAACAGAGCTTTTTTCCATATATTTGACAAGGTTACACAGCATTTTCGAAGTATTTGTATTTCTGTTTATCATTCAATGGTATGCACCATTATGCACCTATATGTCGCTTTTACAGTGCGCTCTCACTGCAAAAAGATTAGGAAAAATTAAAGCATAAACAACTAAAAGTGCAAAAGATCTTGGGGACGCACTAGTGTCTGCTACGGAGGCTCGTCACAAGGCCTTCCAAATAAGGAAATAACTTAAATATGGAAATCATCGACAAACGGTGTAAGTACTTACATTTAGGAAAGATTTCAGTGTATCAGGAATAACCAAATTGCTAAATATTCAGTAAGTTCCAATAATCTTGGTTTTCATAAAAACTTGTTCTGCCCAACACGATCGTGTCCAATTATTAGTGGTCTCTAAATGGCAGTTTTCTTAATGCGAGGGTTGCTTAGTACAGGTTTCAATGTATTTATATTTCTCTTAAAACGTTGCACATTTCTGTAGTCTCTGCACATCTTTGCTAAACTTTTAGTCAAATTCAAATAATCTCCGCACCACCTAACCCAAATTTATCGAAGGTGGAAGTACTGTTCACCTTAATGATTTGGGGAATTGAGATTACAGAGAAAGCATTCTAAACTGCTGCGAAAACTGTGACATAAAAATAACCATATTCAACGTACATTGAGCGTTGGGATAAAAACCTGTAAATGCTCCACTATGACACAGTTGCTCGACTCACATTTTGTGTTGTAATTTTCCCTTTTAGGGCTTTTTTTATAGTGGAGGCAAAATTTTACGATGAACACGTTAAACTTTCGTTTATTCAGTTGTTCGAGAATTATACAACATAAAACTACGATTAGAATATGTGTTTAGAATATATACGATGAGAAAAGGTTTTAAGATCTATAAATACAAAAATTTTGTTCTAAAATATGTAATTTCCTCAAGTGATTTAAATTTTATCAACTATAAATTCAATAACACATTCTTTGCAGTATGCAATCAAATAAAATTTTAGAAACTCCTATAAGATAAAAATGATGAGTAAAATATCCAGTCTCAGGGAAAATGTTCGTTTCATTTGTCAAGGTGACTCATATCCCCACGAAGATCCATACAAGCTGTGTATCTCTGGTGACCAGTCTCTTTTCTTACGAAACTTTTCCCAAAATTCATCCAATTTTGCTGTCTTGAAATTTTCCTTCGCAGTTGCAATTTTTATTTTCAACACTGCAGAGGAATTTACAATGTGCAGCATCATCACACAGACTTGGCACATCTTAGCCAGACTTACTCCATCCAAAAATTCTAATACATGCAAAATCAACTCAACAGGAAAGAGAAGAAGTGGAGGACAACAATGATCTTTTTGAAGAACCTCCTGAATAAAACGTTCGTCATCAATAGGCAATGTTTTCCATCCTTTGCACCATGTTTGGCTAAAATTATCGCTTGGAACGTAGTCATCTAAGATAGGAGCTACAGGGCGAATATAGTTTAAAATTGGTAATCGTTTATCTTCGTTAAGTTTACCACTAATTGGTGATATTTGTTTTTCAAGCGGATTTTGGAACGACAACAAATGCCAACTTAGAGAAGTGAGAGTTTCTGGATAAACAATGATTTCCAATGAATCGAAATTCCATTCCGGTTCAATTTTACTACCGAGAATTTCTTCTACAATTTTCATAAATTTCCTACCAATAGCTCGTAACATGCGCTGACTTTCTTTGCGAATGTGAGGAGGCATGTCATTAAATATATTTTAAATTTATTTTGTGTTAGCAGCAACCAAACAATCTGTGGATGGGCCAATTGTGCCAATCTAAAGGCTTCCTTCCACCAATTATGAACAATCTTCTGTCGTGATCCATCAATGAATTTAACAACCCAACCTTCTTCCTGATGAACACTTTTTGCTTTCCCAGATAGTGTCGCTCTGCTAAGTGTTGCACTGCCGTGTAAAATAGAGGCTGTAGAGCTGCTGGCTTTCACGTCACCGCTGTGTTTAGTGCTGTGGGTTGCAGAGCTGATTCTTTTAGAATCATGTACGCCAAGATCGATTCCACCACAGTACCAAAGAATTTCGTCATAAGTACCTTTAAATCGTGGTGGCACCATGAAAAGCCAATTTGTTGAGCACAACGCAACAATTCTTCAAAAGAAAACTCACGACCGTAAATGTCATCAGTCACTGCTAGAAGAACAAGTCCATCAAAAGGGTAGTTTACAATCACTGTGTTACATTTGTAGATAATTTCAAACATATAAGTGTGGCCAAATTCAAATTTTGTGATATCACAGTGTTGGTTAATCCATTGCTTTGCCCAAGTGGCTTGCTCGGAATCCATTCTTCGCTTTGTCGTCACCTTTAAATCATTTTCCCAAAGAAACGCAATACCAAGTGAGCCATCATACTTCATGGTAGCTTCAACTTCCTCATCTGCACAATGATTGCCGCATTCTACACACAAAAAATAAACTTATTTGCTGTTAGTGGAACTCATCTTGTCAGAAGCTAAACAATCAAAGCACAGAGACTACTTATAAGCCATGCATGTCCGACTTTTGAACAATAATATAGTTATATTTCTGTTCACGTATTGCACATATGAACAAGTTACATGTACACAATTTATTTATTTCTTCTTCCCATATTATATATAGATTCATCATTGATAATTCTTGTTACAATGATACAGCATAATTCTATGCAAGTCACAAATAGTTTGAAAAATCTCTCTCTTTACCTTTAAAGAATCGAACAAATGGCTTGGTTACAATGGTCTGTGTGTCAGGATGTAAGACTAGTCCTCTGCACAGGGACAGAATTGGATTTGTCAATGCTGTGGTGTAACAAAAAATTTGAAGTTCTGTTGAAGTGTCAACCGTTTTTTGAACGTAACCAGTATTTACTTGCTCATTTATTGCTGAATATAGCTCTTCGAAAGAATAACTCGAGGTTGGATGAAGTACATGAACTGATTTGTTTTCACTTAAATCAATATTCAGTTGCTCCTGGTATTCAAGGTCAGTTAAATCTTTCACAAACTGTTCCTTCTATATGGTCTTTGACAAAGCTTCTTAATAAAATTAATTGCTTTGTTGCTGCTGGGTTTGAGTTTGTCTGTTCAGAGAAGCAATGGATCCCAGGCATTTCTAGATGAATGCCCCACATTCCATGATGTCATTTTCACTTAATTCACAAGTCACCATTTTTCACATTTTCACTAAACTCTACATTCACGCTTTCCATTTTTAAATCATTTAAGAGTATGTCACAATGAATTGATTCCTCAAATTGCCATTTAAAAGCATAAAGTCAATCCAAACATGTAGGGAGTGTCAGGGGTAAAAATCATACCATCAGATAAATATGGAAGATTAGACAAGGTCTCAAGACAATTCAAGATTTCTCTTGGAGTAGATAAATAATGTCTTTTATGGCACAATGAACACTCATCACTTCACTTTTCAGAGAAAGTATGTGTGATGTTTCTCCAAAATTTTGTGCATCAAACATGACAATATCAATATCATCACTCAAAGGAAGTTGGATAAGATTATCTTGTCTGACAGAGAAAGGCCATTTCCATAAAACTTCGTCTGATTTGGCCAGAATATCAAATGCCAAAAAGACATTTTCCTTTAGAGGCAAGCTTTTCTTTGAGTAAATATCAGAGATCTTTTCCCAAGGGAGCAAAGTACCATCTAAGACTGTGTTGAGAGGCAATTGACTATTTACTATTGAGCATGGATAAATTTCATTCTTTCTTGTAATCATATAACAGCCACAGGCTATTTTCAACATGAGACAACGAACTCCATTAGTCTTAGGTGTAACATAATATTGGCCAAGTTTGGTCACCCAAGCTAAATCTCTACTGTTGTTAACGAAGGAAACTGGCTGTGTAAACTGAAATTGATGAACCTGGAGTACATTATTCAGATTGTAAAAGATATCTTTTACTTTTGACGAATGAATCAATGCTGCATGTAGGTTATTTGGACAATCTGGTTTCGGGGACAATGTGTTCAGTTGATTATACAAAAACCAGGACCTCTGAATGATATAGTCATTTACACTCAGAAGACGCTGAGATCTTTTGTAATAATTTAAAATATCATTAGCTTTAACATACCAGCTA